TGTGTGTGTGTGTGTGTGTGTGTGTGTGTGTGTGTGTGTGTGTGTGTGTGTGTGTGTGTGAGCTCGGATGAGATAGTCAGCAAGAGCTGACTTAAATTCTTTCCGTCGTGGGCTCAGTGGGCTGTGTGGCGGATGCACCCGCCATAGGGTAAGGGCGGATGTTTCCCGAGCAAGAGCTAACCTAAATTCTTTCCGTCGTGATGTGTGTGTGTGTGTGAGAGAGAGAGAGAAAGTAGCGAATAGTAGTGAACGGGAGAGGTGCGATCTCTCTCGTTGTGCATCGAACCCCCTCTTGTTGTGTATCGAACCCCTTTTGTTGTGCATGATGACATCTCTCTTGTTGTGCATCCAGACATCTTTTGTTCATCACTGAAACATCTCTGTGATTAGGATGAGGAACTAAAACGAGAGGCGTGTTTTGTTCCTCATCCTAATCACGACGGAAAGAATTTAGGTTAGCTCTTGCTCGGGAAACATCCGCCCTTACCCTATGGCGGGTACATCCGCCACACAGCCCACGACAGAAAGAATTTAGGTCAGCTCTTGCTCGGGAAACATCCGCCATTACCCTATGGCGGGTACATCCGCCACACAGCCGAGGATCGAAGTACTTGTTTGTGTGGCGGATATATCCGCTGTACACCAAGGGGGCGGAGACCTCTAAGAGGAGATGTCGGAGTACAAACATGCTCTGTGGGGGATATATCCGCCACACAGACGTGGACACCAAGCGCGGGTGTTGTTTCTCTGTTTAGAGGTTAGCTCTTGCTCAGGAAACATCCGCCCTTACCCTATGGCGGGTACATCCGCCACACAGCCCACGACGGAAAGAATTCAGGTCAGCTGTTGCTCGGGAAACATCCGCCCTTACCGTATGGCGGGTACATCCGCCACACAGCCGAGGATCGACGTGCTTGTTTGTGTGGTGGATATATCCGTTGTACACCAAGAGGGCAGATATCTCTAAGAGGAGATGTCGGAGTACAAACATGCTCTGTGGCGGATATATACGCCACACAGACGTGGACACCAAGCGCGGGTGTTGTTTCTCTGGTTTGTACTCCGACATCCGCCCGCTCGGTGTGCAGCGGATATATCCGCCATACAAACACGCACGTCGATCCTGGCTATTGATGTTTCGAGACACAGCCGAGGATCCACGTACTTGTTTGTGTGGCGGATATATCCGCTGTACACCAATGGGACGGAGACCTCTAAGAGGAGATGTCGGAGTACAAAGCGGGTGTTGTTTCTCTGGTTTGAGGTTAGCTCTTGCTCTGGAAACATCCGCCCTTACCCTATGGCGGGTACATCCGCCACACAGCCCACGAAGGAAAGAATTCAGGTCAGCTCTTGCTCGGGAAACATCCGCCCTTACCATATGGTGGGTACGGTACATCAGACGTGGACACCAAGCGCGGGTGTTGTTTCTCTGGTTTGTACTCCGACCTGTCCTCTAAGACGTATCCGCCCGCTCGGTGTGCAGAGGATATATCCGCCATACAAACACGCACGTCGATCCTGGCCAATGATGTTTCAAGACGGAGTGTTTTCTCCACTACGTTCCCGCTCAGTTGCTGAGGCGGATATACCCGCCACACATGCGAGGACACCGAAGGCGCAAAATGTTGGTTTCCATCCTGAGGATGACGGCCTCAATAGCGGATACATTCGCCGCTGAGGATGAAGACCGTGCCTCCAACGGGCGCACAAGAGTTTGAGGTCATTGTCCATGCGGCGGATACATCCGCTCCACGCCGAACACATCCGCCCCGTAGTTAACTATTGCCCGGGAAAGATCCGCCCTCACCCAACGGCGGAGGGCGCAGAGTGTTGGTTGCCAGTTGGAAACAACTTTCTCTGCATCACAGAAACAACACACAATTTTGTGTTGGCGGCCACCTTTGGCGATCACCCACCAATTTTGAGGATGTGTTCGACGGGTCGCGACGGATGTATTCGTTATCCTCAGCGGCGGATTTATCCGTTGTAGAAGCAGCACGACTTCGAGGTCGTTGTCCATGCAGCGGATATATCCGGTGTTCATCCGCTGCTGAGGATGAGGTCATAGTCCATGCAGCGGATACATCCGGTGTTCATCCGCCGCTGAGGATGAGGACTCTACCCTTGTCGTGCGCGTGTGAAGGTAGCCACATGACTTTTACGATACTAAAGCTGAACACTGGATGTATCCGCTGCATGGACTATCTTCGACAGCGGATATATCCGCCTTCGATGATGATGACCGTGCCCTTCACACGCTGAGGACGAATCAACGTCGTTCTGCTTACTATCATGCTGAGTAGCGTGTTCTTCTTCGTGCTTGGAAAATGCAGATAAAATGGCATCCGTTGGTGCTGGCAAATGAGCTGACTCTGCAGGAACGGTTGTCGAGGGAGAGTTGCCAAGTCTAGTGGAAATCGTGGTGGGCTTGCCTCGACTTCTATCGGTGGTCCAGTAGCGGAGCGCGGTTGGCGCGGTCCTTCTGGTGGCAGGCACAGCGGCGGGACGAAGAGAAATCCTTTGTACTACAAGTATGACAACCGCCACTAGTTTCTTGATTGGGTTTCTGCTGACGAGTTGGCGCTGACGAGTCCACCTTGCGGTGTAGTTGTCTTCGTGAAAGACCGTAATAATTTTCGAGTCGTCGGGGCTGTGAGCGGATGGGAAGATTGTTCAGAGGGAATTCGTACATTCACCCTTCAAACGGCGTTCGGGAAGAACGGTCATCCTGATGATGACGCCCAGGGTGTCAGATTGGCTTGGAAAAAGTTCTGAGGTTTCGGCAATCAAGCTACCATGCTTCCGTTTTACACGGCAATAACATCAGATTTAGAACCGTCTGTTCTCTTGCGGAGCTTCTTCGATGACTGGGAGAGATTGGTGCCGCCAGCCAAGTGTTTAGATGTGCAGCAGGAGCATCGTATTTCGATGCCGATAGCATATGTTGGCGATGACGAGGACCGCACTCGAACTTCAGAATTGTTGGTTGATGTTGCTACGGAGGGTGCTACTGGAGGGCTTGACCCTAACTACGTTCCTGAGCAGCAAGACCCCTCAGGTGCTTATGAAGAATCCGAGCCGGAAGGTGAAGCTGTCGAAAGCAGACATGCGGAGGGGGCGGTCACCGAGGTGGCTGGGCTCCAGTAAGTGCTATAAATGAGCCGTCGCCCCAGGAGGGGGCGGTCGCCGACATGGCTGAGGCTCAAGTAAGTGCTACGGATGAGCCGTCAACTAGGGCGAAGACGACTGGAGTTCGTACTACTGTTGGACATCCTGTGGTGGCGGAGCAGCAAAGGGGTGGGAAGACGGGTAAAAGACCTGTTGCGGTGGGAGAAAAAAGAAGTGGAGAAGAATCTGGCAGCGAGGGGGCTGGAGACGAAGACACCCCTCGTTTATCTTCACAGAAGAAAAGGAGAACAAGTACCCCTCGCCAGACATCTGACAAGAAGAGGAAATCGGCGGGAAAGAACCCGAAAACACCGAAGGCGAGACGGGGAGGTGGATCGGGGGAAGGGTCATAGAAAGGCAAGCGGGCACGAGCATATGAAAATGACAGTGAGGACGACAAGGAAAAGGTTGTCGATCTGGACGTCGGGTACTTTCTGGAATGGAAAGAGGGTATAAAGAAAGATGTCACTCTTTCTATCAACCCGGAGAGGGTATTGGAGTTGCCGGCGTGGGAAAGGCCGTACAATCATTGTTCGATCAACCCAACGCACACGACATATATATTGCGGTCTATGATGGATGCCTTCAAGAAGAAAGGAAAGACGTACGAGAAGCCAATTTTGAAATTGGCGCCAATCGCAGGGCTTCCTAGCCCCGGACAGAAGGCTGTTCGTGTGACCCCGGACAAATTCAATGTRRWGAACCCGAACGAACAMTGGTACTACRCTGTCAGCGGGCAACACAATGCCAAGGTTGTACTGGAGTTGAGAAACCACGAGATTTGGGAGAAACATACCTTCTACGACTGGCCCTTCAAGCCTTTGTACTTCGCCGACGAGGACTTTGACGGTTATACACAGATAAGCGTGAACGAGAATAGGAAGGACAAGTTAGCCCCTCCTCGGGCTCAGCGGTTGTCAATGATAGACATTCGTCAGGAGTGGAATAACTTGAAGCGTCCTCATGCTGTCACCGGCAATATAAAGTTCAAGAAGGATTTGGTCAGTAAATATGAAGAGTTTCAGAAAGCCGCCTTAAGGAAAACGCCTTACTTCAACCTTTGGGGGTTGGCTGATGAGAAATCGAAGAAAAAAGAATGGACGGAGAGACTGAGGTACTACTTACCTCTGGTGATGACGGACGATGAAACGTGGATGCTTGGCATGAAATTCTACGACGAGTGGGAAAAGGGCCATCTGCTCGCCCCTGATGGCGCTGTGTGGACGAAGAGGCCTCCAACAACGGACCCGAAAGTCACCCGTGAGGGTCAGTCATTTGCGAAGGACAACAGTGGCCATAAGAGAGTTGTGTATAATGTGCGTGTGAATGATCCGGAGATGCGGAAAGGCAAGAAGAAAAGGAAACTGGAGGACCGCGACTTTTTCGTCCAGGTGAATGAACCCGACGTGCATTGTTGGAAAGACTTGGGGGATTTTACATACGCGGAGAAACGTCGGATTCTGCGAGGGTTGCTGGACCTGGATATTGTCTGGGTGCAACAAGGAAGCAAGAAGCTGATTGAGCAGGGAAGGGTTGGGATGAAAGATGCTTGTGAAATGGTCAAGCAAGATCGGATGTTGCTCCGACTGTGGCATATTGTGCAATTCCAGCACGAGGGCCGCGACAACGATGATTGGAATGCCTCCTTTTTTCCGGACGAAGAGCAATTGATGGCAGAGTACGCCTCCAAGGGACTGGACGAGAAATTGTGGGCGGGCTGCAGGAAATGGGTCACAGATCACTCGTACCTCAAGGGGTGCCCCCAGTATCTCGGCTGTCCATGTGATAAGGACGTGGCAGCAACGATGAAGTTGGTTAATCACGAGAAGTTTGCTACTGAATGGAAGCGGGTTGTGTTGTTCATGCTCAAAGGCGAACGTGGCAAGACAAAAGAGGGGCCGCAAACACTGGGAGAATGCACCACCATCAAATGGAAGGAAACCAAGCAAGTGACAACCCTCGCACCATTTGCTTACGACGCCTTCACGACTTTTCTAAGAAAAGATGAGATGAGGAAAGTTGTGACGCAGCTGCGATGCCACACTTGCATCATTGACTTCTGCGATCCCGTCGACCGAGCACRTTKGAATGACGAGGCTTTCCGATCATTGGCGGCATTCCTTGAAGCTRTKTKTCCWGATTTCWGGACTTTAATTGCTTTTGTTCCCAGGCAGTGGGACCTTTCCKTCATGGGTCTTCTCCACATTCTTCCTGTCACGAATGGTTGTGCAGGAAAATGGGTTCGGAGGAGTCAAGTTAAGAAGCACTACCAAATCGGGAACAGTGTGTGGGCCGACGAGTACAGGATGTATGTTTTTTTCCACGGGGAAGATCTGAAGCTTAACACCCCGCCGACATATGAGGGACGATTGCCGGACGATGACACTGCAGCTCTTGGGAAAAGGCAAAAGGTGACACCCTCGGACATTGCCGAAACACAGTTCACGACCATGACGTATGCATCGGCAGGTGTGCACCACCTGAAGGGGTTCGTCTATAAGGAAATGGAGGGCAACCCGGGTATGTTATCGGGTCACATAGAGTTCTTCTGCCCAGTCGAGAATGCAGTTATGTTCATCGGCAAAGCACACGCCCAGGTTGTGTGGCATCTCCTCAAGAGTGAGCGCCATGTTGTGGCCATCGAGGGAGACACAGAGCTCCTCAACTTCTCGATGACATTTGTTGCACACGAGGTGCACACGGGTGTGACACGGGTGTGGACAACTGTGAATTCTACCAGGTGCAGAAAGAGGTCGACCATGATCCACACAGGAACATGTGGTTCAAGCTGTCAGCTGAGAAAAGGGCGAATGTATACAAGTTTCTGTTCCTCGACACAAAACCGAAACTAAGATTCGAGGACGACTACAAGTGTCGCCGAGATGTCGTGATTGGTGCATTGGATGGCTTTCATGGTGCTTCTAGGGAGGCTGCGGCCAACTTCGTGGAGAAACTTGAGGAATGCTATTTCGACAATGGCAAGGTGGAACTCACATAAAATTATTACAAGGTTCAGTTCACTGAAGAGGACAATTTCAACGCAAACGACGAGGAAGAAGTCAGCGAGGGTGAGGAGCCTTTGGATTTAGAGACGGTATATCAGAAATATATTGCAGGTATGGCGTCCTCTTCAACGCCTTCCAGTTCCAAGCATGCTGCGAGTTCACCTGTCGTCACTCCTGTCGCCATTCCTGTCGTAACGCCAACCTCGGGTTCTTCAAGAGGATTTCTTTCCTCCATGAGAAGCAAACCTCTGAGCCCCACTGTCAAGCCTGGACGTCCTCTTTCGCCGACGCACACATTGAGGTTGCAGAAAGGTCAACTCTATTTCTTCGGGACGACGCACAGGAGTACCGACGAGTCCGATTGGGGTCACCATGTAATTTGGCATCCAGACATTTTTCAACCGGCAGTTCTTGATGGCGAATGGGTTATGGCGTTCAATGATAAGGGCGAATGGAAATCAGAACCCCGTTTGTCAAAAAATGTATTTGAAGAGGCTGCCCTCCAAGCGGTTATCGACCATGTCGCAAAGGTAAACTGCCGTCAACCAGACGACCTTGTCGTCAGAATGTTCGGAGAGCAGACATTCGAGATTCTTCAGGAGCACAACATGTTGGAGCTCTGTCGTGACTTTTATTACCTCGAAACAAGTCCAAGTTATGAAAGCAAAATTGACTGGCATATTCCACCGCCTGCCCCAACACGAGGAGAGGGAGCTGGACGGGGCGGCCGTGGAGGAGATGACGAAGGAGGGGACGGAGGAGGTGAGGATAGAACCCACGGCGGCGGTTACGGGGGACCCGAGGCGCCGGTTACGGGTGACAACTTAGGGGGCGGCGCACGGCGCGGAAATGTTACGAGCCCGGAAGGGGTCACGATCGCAAGCGGAAAGGGTGCTATGGCTTCGGTAGAAGGTGCGAGCTCACAAACTGGGCAGGGATCACCACAGGTTGAATCTCCACTGCCGACCCATGCGCTGCAAGCTGCTCAACTCGTTGGGCAAGTACATGGCTCATTTCCCGCCAGCGGATGTATCCGCGGCACAGTCACGATGGATGGCGGAATAGGTGTCATGGATTCAATAGAAGGTGCGAGCTCACAAACTGGGCAGGGATCACCGCAGGTTGAATCTCCATTGCCGACAATGTATCCGCTCGGTGCTGAAGTCGTTGGGCAAGGAAATCGCTCATTTCCCGGCAGCGGATGTATCCGCTATACAGTTTCTGCCGGATCGAATTTCATGGCAGATGCGGAGTCGGTCGACGTGGCTTCCACCAAGGATCCAGAACGCGACACTCGGAAGTGCGAAGTTGTTACGGATGCCACTTTCCTTCGCGGAGAGAATGTGGTGGAGAAAACTGTAGGCGGGTCGTACTCCCCCAGAAGGATAGATTCTCTTGCGAGTCCTTGTGCAACTGGGTCTGAGGTGGATAAGGGGCGGGTTGGCCTTTTTTCTGCCGGTCCCGGATGTATCTGCCATCCAAGCGGGCGCGTCGGTGTGGAGCAGAATGAGGACTTAGCTGTCGGAAGCATTTCGGCCGGTGGCGGATATATCCGCTCCTCGACGCATCAACTCAGCAGCACCGACGACACCCTTGCCCTGGGTAGGGAAGACCAGGAGACTGCACCCTTTGACACACATTACGGTGGTTCCGAGGGCGGGCATGTCCCTCTGACAAATGCACCGGAGGAACATGCACGCGGGTCATACAAGGGGCGCGGGCTGCGTGATGGCGGTTCTTTAGCCGGCGCCGGATGTATCCGTCGTCCAGGGCTTCGTGTCAGTGCAGAGCAGAAGGAGGAGTTAGTTGTCAGACCCGTTTCCACCAGCGGCGAATCTATCGGCTCCTCGGCGCAGCAGCCACGTAGCACGGATAACACCCTTGCCATGGGTGTGGAAGACCAGGTGACTCCACCACCTGATACACGTTGTGGCGGTTCCCAGGGCGGGTATGTCTCGCAATTATGTTCAGGGTTTCCTGACATACGGCCCTCCAAAATCCATATGGCCACAGTCATGTCGGGCGACTGCAATGCGGACGAGGATGTCACCATGCTCGAAGTGGAAGACCTGTCTGTCCGTCGTCCGATCGAAGATGATCTTGTCAAGACACTCTTCCACGATTCCCCCGTTGGCATCTCTCCCTCTTCACAATTATTTACTCCTCAAGATGAGAGTTCTTGCCATCCGTGGGAGTGGTGGGACAGCTGGTCGTCCTGTAGAGTTGTGCCTTGATGCTCCGGAAAAAGCCGTTTGCCTCATCGACGCGGACATTAAGGACTTGTCCCGACTTCCATCCTAGTTAGATCGCATTATGGCATCGGCGCAGACTGAAGAGTTCGTGCTGGGTCTAAGCGCGACATGTATGAGAAAAGACTTGCCACAACCGAAAGTTTTAGACGAGAAGAATACTAAGGAATATCTCCGGCACGAAGCCGTGGCTGGTAAGCAGTGACATGTGTTGCTCACATTTGGGTCTACGTAGTGTATGAGCACTTGGAGTTAATTCACTGACATGAGTGTTTGGGTCCCACTACTGTATGAGCATCCGGGCGGCGATATGTTTGGATATGTGGGTAATTGCTGGTTGCCCGTTGGTTGTGCAATGCGGCGATATGTTATATTCATAATCTCATTTTCTTTACTTGTTGTACAAGTCGGCCATCTCCTTCGTGTGTCGTGCGGAGAAACTCGGAAGAGTCTCTCACAAAGACGAATATGCAACGATTGTCGAGAAGGGATTTTCAGATTGTAGAAGCGACGGGTATGAGTTCTGACACATTTGCGAAGTTGCACATTAAAGTTTGCAAGAAATGCGCCATTTCTCCGCTTCCTAGACCCGCGCCATACTTTTCTAGGAGTACAAGTAGAGGGGTTCAAATTTATAATAATTTTAAAGCGCAAAGCAAAGAACCGAACGGCTCGGATAGTTAGGGTGTCATCCTTCTCATGCTCATGGATGTTGCTTGGTTGGACTCTGCAGCAGACGTATGCATGTCAGGCGTCGGAGGAAATCAGGAAGAGTCATCCAAGTTGATGGACAAACTTGTTCGGTGTTGCCTACCGTCGGTGATGGTTATTGCTCGGCTCCCGGCCGATAATTTGGTGGTTAGGGTAAAAGACATGGTGACATTATTGGATAGAGGCGGCAAGCTTAACGATGAGGTCGTGAATTTTTACTTAGCTCTCCTCACCAGGGACTGTCGTCGATCTTCGTTCAAAGTGTATAACTTCCTTTCGTTTTTCTTTACGAAGTTGCAGTCGCAAGGTTTTAGAGGGGTCAGCAGGTGGTTGCAAAATGTCCTTCTTTTCGAATACGATATATTACTCATCCCCATTCACAAGGATTGCGAACACTGGGTCCTTCTTTCAGTAGATTTCAGAAAGCACATTGTAAACTTCATCAATTCGTTTTATAACCCGGTCTATGACGCGTCATTCGCTTCTAGTGCATTTAAGGCGGTTGTGGACTATCTGAATAAAGAGGCAACCGTGCGAGGGTTGCCCAAAAGGTACAATAACATGAGATTTGAAGTGCTCGTTAAGGGAGTGCCTAGGCAGGTTGATGGCTCGAGTTGTGGGGTGTTCATGTTGATGTTCGCTTCCTTTCTTGCGCGGGGTTTGCGCTCGCCTTTCCGCTTTTCGAATTTTGACATTCCAGCAATCAGATGCAAAATGGCATCGATCATATGTTCTGTAGGACAAGTTTGAGTATGTGTTGTGAGTTCTCCGGGTCGGGATTGTGCAGCGGATGTATCCGGCCTATAGGATCATAAATCCCTTGTGCTATTTAAGAATTCCTTCAAAAGTAGCCTTGAAAGTTTACGACAAGTTTGAGTACATGTGGCCAGTTTTCCAGGTTGGGATTGTGTAGCGGATGTATCCGGCCTATAGGATCAGAGACAAGTTTGAGTACGTGTGGCCAGTTCTCCAGGTTGGGATTGTGTAGCGGATGTATCTAGCCTATAGGATCAGAAATCCCTTGTGCTATTTGAGAATTCTTGTATATTGCTCTTCTTCATATATTAGGTGTCACTTTATTTGCGAGGTTGATGGGTCGCTTTGTGGGATATTCATGTTGATGTTCGCTTTCTTTCTCACACGGGTATTTCGCCCGCCTTTTCGTTTTTCGGATTTTGACATTCCAGCAATCAGATGTGTTTCCAGTTGAGGTGTCTGTCATTGCAGATGTGTATGGGGACATTTGTATGTGGTTCCTGAGTTCTGCATTACTCGAACACATCTCTCTGTCCTGTTCTCATTTTGAAAGAATATGTAGTGGATGTATCCGCCACAGGTGAGTATATATACTAGCCATATGTAGCGGATGTACCCGCCACAGGCTCGGACATCTCATTTCGAAAGAATATGTAGCGGATTTATCCGCCACAGGCGAGAATATGTACTGGATGTATGTGTTACAGACAATAATATGTAGCGGATATATCTGCCACAGGGGGTTAACGAATGTCTCTCTCTCTCTTTCTCTCTCTCTCTCTCTCTCTCTCTCTCTCTCTCTCTCTCTCTCTCTCTCTCTCTCTCTCTCTCTCTCTCTCTCTGTGGGACATTTGAATGTG